TCTGGACACCCCCAGGATTAGCATAACTGGGATTTCTGAGTCCTTCTGAAATGGATCCTGGTCTTTCCATGTATGTACAATAACTCATTTTCTTTGTCACCTACATATTGGATGTGCCTGCTCCCTATGTGACCAGGCACAGGTGGTACTCCATTTTTTAGCACACATCCCATAGGTTTGACTCTCCCAAGTGCTTGCAAAGTAGGTGTCTAATGTGTATGATGGAAATCAGGTCTGCTCTGTGTGGTGCATCTAGCTGAACCTGTCTAGTTAGGAATCCAATACTAGGAAATTTTTTAATCTGATCCAAAGAAACTCAGTGAAAACCCTTATTTTGTTGACTTTTGAGAGCAAATGTGGGTCACACATGCTCTAGCTGACAGCATCCTGCTGAGCAAGAAGATGACTTCAGTATTGCCCCAGATTTTTCTTTTGTGAGCAAGGGTGCATATACCTCCCAGGCATTAAAACAAGAAAGAAATGGCTTTTGTGGGAGTAAGTGAAAACAAAATCAAGAGATCAGAAATCCAGAACTCAATCCACCTATAAATTTGCCTGTGGCACCAATGAGAACCAACCTCCCACCCCAAATAACAAATGCGAAAAGCATCTGTAGTATCTTAATGTCCTTCCCTTTCTTTCTTTTCCCTGTTTTTTTACTCTTTATGGGAGAAGCTGTCTAAGATGCTAAAGGCTGTTTACAGAACATCAGTTACTTCTGTCTCATTTTCTCCCTGGTAAATTATGCTTTTCCCCATTTCTTCCTCAGCACCGTTGTGAGATGCTTGGTAAAGACAGACCAATTTATATGTTAAAAAGAATGAAAAGGTCAAACTTTTATGTATAAGCATAAATGAGTGATGTGGGAACCTAGGTTTTTTCTGTCCATCTATGATAGAGGAGAGGTTGCTACTTTTTACTCGCACCATGTTTAGGAACATATAACAGGGTAAATCTGACTACTGGGCTGAACTTACACTTCTGAAAACTTACACTGTAATGCATGCTGGTATCTCTCTTCGCTACTGATTAGATAAGGGCTGTTGAATTGGTGGCCCACAGACCTCATGCAACCTGCAAGGGGTTAACATGTGGCCTGTGGGCTCCTGCCCAGCCACTGCTCCCTCGCTTGTTCCTATTGCTACAGAGGTCCGGGGCTCTGACTCCCCCTCTCTCTTCTGGCTTCTGCTTCCTGCCCCCTGCCCCTAGGGGTGGGGTAGCACAGTAGGCTTGGGGAGAGACCATGTTGCCTGTGTGGCCAGGAAAGGAGCTGGGCTGCCCATGCTATGTGTGTGGTGAAAAGGGGGTGCAGCTATCTGAGCAGCCAGAGAAAACTTGTGAGGGCCACCCCTGCAGTGTGCAGCCCACACTGGTGTATGACTTGGGGATCTGTGGGGCTCACACCTCCTCCCCTCAGCCCCACGTCTCAGAAGTTGGACAACCCTGGATTAGGTTGTGGATTAATCTCTTATGGGAAGCAGCAGCAGATCCAGTGCTTGAGAAACTTCATATTTTATGGAACAAAATGTTAGATGCTAGGATGTACAAAATAATGCTGCATTGGCCACTGAGTCTAGCAAGTAGTGTAATGGACCTGTTCCTTTTCAAGTTCCCCAGGATCTTCAGGAATGTTTATATGCAAGTTAGAGATATCATGCTACTTGGATTAGACATGGAAATCAGAGTGACCTGGCTAACATCCCTTCATTTAACAAGACATGCTGTAATGGCCAAGGCAATGTTTGAACTATTATGAGTGGAAACTAACTGCTCCCTTAGAAATACCTAAGTTGGTCAGATAATTTGGGATTTTCAACAGTATTTGGCATTGGGATAGCTCTTCTACCAGTTCCAGTATGAACAGTTATGTCAATACTGAATTATTCTAAATATTCTACCCACACTGGCTGCTTGTAACAGGGAACCCCTAGCCATGTTACTAGAAGGGCCTGAGAGGATAGGAAACCCAGGGCCAGAACAGGTAGTAAGGAGTAGCATCCCAGGTGGACTGAGCCAGGGACTAATGAGGCCAGGTAGCTAATGAAGCAACTAGCTGTACCTGGTCCCTGGGTGCAGAAGACCCAGTCACATGGCATGAAGAAGGCTGGGCTTGGGAGATTTAAGCTCAGCCTCTGACCATGCAAGGGGGGCTGCCCCTGCCTGTGGCAGGGAGAGATGCTCCTGGGAGCAAGGGGCTGCTGGAGGTAGACAAGCCACCCAGGGGAGATGGAGTGAGACGGGTCTTATGGATATAGGGCCTGTAGGCAACATTTACCCCAAGAAGGGACACTATTTGTTTTTGTAATACAGCTTTCTTGTGGTTTTGTTCTGTTTGAACTTGATCCTGGAAGACCAGATTGCAGCTACAGGAGTGGAGGAGGCTATGAGCAAGGAGTGCTAAAAGCTAGTTCTAAACTAGAGGGGTGGAGACTGGTGTGGTGAGATTGGAGCTGTAGGAAGGGCTGCCGCCAAGGTGGGGCCAATACCTGGGAACTGAGGTCTTAAACAGGAGACCAAAGCTGAGTGTACAGCCGAGAGGAAAAGGGGGCCTCAGTTGTCACAGCTATGGCCCTGACAAGTGCTTTGAAGCCAGTGGGAACACTCCCTTAAAGGGGAACTACCAGAGGGAGAGCACAGGCCCCAGTAGGGTTCTGGGGTGGCAGCCCCCCAAAAGTACCATGCTGCTATACTTGCATATTACTATATTCATTGTACTATCAGACTATAATTCATTGTTTTGCTAAGTGCTGTGGGCCAACCTGGCATAGGAAGTTTATTACAGTACATAAAGTTTACTTTGCTAAAAAGATCTCAGGGTAACCATTTAAAACAAAGATGGCCCAAACTAAAAGTGCTCTCATCTCTCTAGGGGTGCAGGCTGGTTCTTATCTGCCAACTCTGGGATAGTTCTGACCTGATCTAGAGTTATCCTAAATAGAAAATGATTTCTGCAGTGATTGATGATTGAAATCTGTTATCAACAACAGGAACAGAAGTGTTCAAGGATTATATGAAAAAATATACCCTTAAAAGGGGACTCTTTCGGCATTAATAAGTTCCAACTGAGATATCACGTGTGTTACCATCAGGTGCAATGTACCAGGGCCTAGGGCTGTACTGGGGAGTCGGTGTCCTTGCCCTGTGATATGGTTTCTGCTCATGGTGACTGAACCACCTGAGGCTCCTAAACATCAGCAGATCTGAAAATGTTAAGGACTTCACTAGGTTAGATGGTTAAACTAAGGATAGTACTGAATTCAGGGAAACAACTCTGCAGCCACAACAAAAATCACATTCTGGATTTTAAGGGAGAGGCCAGACAAATTTTCTCTAGCCAAAGTGGCTGCAGCCATGACAAAAAAGTAGAAAGAATGAAGGCCTTTAGAACTACTTTATTTTAATACATATTAGTGGTATAGCTAGGGATGTAAATTTGGGTGGACTTCAAGTTAAGAGGATGTACACTGGCCCCAAGTACAATGTCATAGCAACTAATTTATACTGCAAATAATTTAAAACAGGCTCAGATTTGTGCGGGTTTGGGTGATAGTTTAATGACTGTGGCCCACCTGACTTTCCATTCCTGAAGTGCGTGTAGTGGTGTAGTACCGACCAACTAAATGAGAAGCAGTATTACTAGTGGCGTAGCACTGTACTATTAGTACTACTAGTGGTATAGTATCAACTGACTAAATGACAAGTAGTACTACTAATTAGGGCTGTGCAAAACAGATCCTATTCAATTTGGATTCAGATTCGGCTCAAATCAGGGACAGTGATTCGATATATTGATTTGGATCACTGTCCCTGATTCGATTCAGCCGAATCCGAATCTGAAGATTCGATGCTGATTTGGTGAATCAGAAATTCGGACACAGAGACAGCTTGAAAAGTTTTTTCTACATACCTTGAGGTAGCAGTGAGGCTCACGATCACTGTGATGCTGGGGCAGATGCAGCATTCCACAGGAGCGTGGGGGGGCTCCTCAGCGTGCTCAGCAGCAAACATGGAAGTGGGCTGGAAATACTTCCGGTCCACTTCCGGTTTTGCCAGGGAGTGTGCTGGTGGGCCCCCCTTGTCCCTTCAGCTCAGTGATTGGCTGCAGAGGGACCCCAGGTGTCCCCCCAGACCCAGGAGGCACCAGTTGCTGAGCCAAAGGGGGCATGGGGGGCCCTCCTGCATGCTGCCCGGTGGAGCAGGAAGTGCTTCTGGTCCACTACTGGGTCTGCTGCCAAGCACACTGGGGAGCCCCCCGTGCTTCTGTGGGATGCTGCATCTGCCCCAGCACCGCAGCATTCAGAGTCCCCTGATACCTACAGGTATGTAGAAAAAACTCTTAAAGCTGTGTCTATGTCCAAATCGATTCGGAGGGTTCCGAATCGATTCAGAGAGATTAAAGGGTCCTCTGATTCGATTCAGATTCGGAGATAATAATAATAATAATAATAATACACAGATAAGAATACCATTGCAAAAGCAGAGTTAACATGCTCTTTGCTATAATCTCTCCATCATTCTCTCTCTGAATTTCTGAAATGCCTATCAGTAAATTATGCAAGCTCTGCTAGGAAGGTGAACACTAACTTAACTATCTTATGTTACAATTTGCCGTAGTAAGCAAGTATACAAATTATCCTATTATCTATTAGGTAATCAAACAGTGATGTTTGTGGTCTATTGATCACATGAATGGATCCAGTTCACTTCCTGTACCTAGGTTTGTAGAAACCTACTTGGTGTCAGCCATTTTACAGTATCCAGATCACATCTTGGGGAGACTTACTGTGGCAAAGAGGTTGGCTTCTGATGGGTTGGAATTAAATCTGTATAAGTTTTGCAAGATACTTTAACTTTCAGTAGCTTTGAACAAAGTGCTCATCCTAATCTTTAAATGGCATCTTTTACACATCATAAAGTAGCTTAAATGCCACTTCTTAATATGTCCAAATCCAGTGTTTTCCTTCCTCTTGATATATAAAACTATACAATGGGATACTTACTATTGTGCAGAGTCATTAAGCTGATATTCTCGGGACCGGTTGAAGCATTCCTGGATTCCAGAATCTGCCCAGAGTCTCATCATAGCTGACAGCAGCTCTGGAGAGAAGGGCTCTGTGTCCTCCATCCGACTTACTACGTCACAGACCATCTTAGCATCAGCCTAGAAGGGAAAGAAGCAACTGGTCACATTCTGGAAACAGAGAATTGTTCTCTTCCTGAGAATTCAAGATAGTTCATAAATTCATCTCGTAAAAAAATTACATTCCTTATTTTCCAAATATTGAAATGTTTTTTCTCAGGTGTTCTAAATAAATAAATAAATTCATGTCAGCAAAGCCGAAATGCTTCATTTCACCATGTTTGAAACAAAAATATTTTTGCTTTTTATTTCAAAATGGCATTTTACATTTTGCATTTCACCTAAATTAAAAAAGAAGGGGTAAACATAGGGTTAGAGGACCTGAAAACAGAATAATTTGATTTAGGTGACCAATACTTGATTTTTTCCCCTTTTTTTTCCCATCAAACAACTGAAAATGTACTTGTCTTCTGTCTTCCTAAACCAGCCTTATGCCCCAAGTTATTCTGTTCAGCCACAGAACCAACAGTCTATTATTTCCCCGGCTCTGCTTCTGAGCCTACTGGCTGGACTTTGGTGTTCTCCTGTTACCTGTCTCCCATTCAGACGATACCTGGTATCACATCAGATGAACAGGGGACAGGTAACAGGAGGTCACCGAAGTGAATGCTTTTACTCATACTGGACTTCGTAAGACAATGTTTCAGAGTCATGCAAGATTCTGCCCCACGAGAGGAGCGGCTGGCCAGGGCAGCCCTCCGCGAGCGTATGTCAACCCGGAGCTCCGCAGGGGCCCGATCCCGGATCCAGGCTGGGCAGGAGTTCCAGGAGCCCGGGCACAATTTTGGCTTTGCCCCGGTGACCCGCGTGGAGGTCCAGCGGGCTGCGTCGACCTTGCGCCCGACGCGGGACTTAGAAAAATTTCGCCCGGTGTGTGGCAAGCAGTTAACGTGGGCCTGCCGGGGCGGCCCGGAAGTCCCTATGAACTCGTTTTTGAACGCAGCGTCCGACCCTTTGATCCAGGAGGGAGGACTCTTTTGGTGGTTTGTCCCGGTGACAGGGCCGGGTGCCACATCCGCAATATTTCCAGGAAACGTTCGCGGAGATTTTTGGGGTCACGCTTTTTGGGACCCTAGATGCTCATCTTTGGTTCCAGGAGGGCGGCGAGCGCAAGCTCCGGGGCAGAACCAGGTTGCTCTGAGCGGCGGTGTCTGAGTTTGGTGCTCTGGTGCCTTGTCAACCGGGGGCCCGATCCCGGCGGGGCTAGGCCAGGCGGGAGTTCCAGGAGCCCGGGCACGATTCCGGCTTTGCCCTGGTGACCTGCTTGGAGGTCGGGCAGGCCGGGGCCAGCTCGCAGGGTCCCGGCAGGCATGTGGGGTCCCGGGGTACGGAACTGCACTGGGTATGACAGTTGAGATGTTAGTCTGCTGTATACCAAGTAGATTGGAAACCACTTGCCTAAGAAAGCCCTTGTTCACTTGTTTCTGCTTGTGTCCAGTGCATAATGCTGCTGTTCTTTTTGCTAAAGCTGTCCAGGTTATCTTAGCTTGTATTCTATAACAAGTCCCTGTAATAATTAGTTTACAACAAGAAGAGGACACAACAACTATAGATCTTCATTAACTTGTACTTTTGCCCCTTTGATTGTGTAGGTTTGTACATCCCTGCTCAAATGTCTGATCTAATCTCCCTGCCAACTGCACCATTCAAAAAGACTGCTGAGCCAACATCTCCTACCTAGAGTGCCCTGAAATTGGCTAGGCTCACCGTCAAACTCAATCAGCTGCATGCTTCTAAACCGCAGGTGCAGACTGACGTCAGTTCACTAATTGACAACAACCTTCTCATCTGCCAGAATATCCAGCACTAAGACAGACTTTATACAGCATGAAATGGTGAAGACAAGATATACGGGATTTTTACAGGGATTTTAGAGCTTTTCTCAGCTAGCTCACCTGTTCAGATCCAACCTAGGTCAGCAGCAACTGGAAGTCATTGCCCTCCACTGGCTATTTTGGCCCATATCTAGTCCTCAGGCAACAAATGTGACTACTACAGCAGCTAACATTGTACTTGGCAGTATTTTCAGAGGTGCTGAAGGCTAGAAACATACAGAGACAAACGTATCTGTCCCCTGGACAAACACTGCAATTCAGAGGCACTCTCTAACACATTTTATACACCACCACAAAGGTAAATACTAGGGGTGTGCGAAGTGGGCCCTATTTGATTCGGATTTGGATTCAGCCCAAATCAGGGACAGTGATTTGATTTGTTGATTCAGATCGCTGTCCCTGATTTGATTTGGCCAAATCTGAATCTGAAGATCTGACGCTGATTCAGAGAATCAGTGATTTGGACATAGACATAGCTTTAAATGTTTTTTCAACATTGAAAATTGAATTGAATTGGGGACCGAAGCTTCACACAGCCCTGGTAAATACAAAGCTGCAACAGAGTACTAGGATCTGGTGGAGTCAGGATGCTTCTAGTGAGGCTCTCAGGGGATATGTTAATATATAAGATACTCTCCACTTAGCTTCACAAACTGGAATCTGTTTGCTGAGCAGTCCATAGGGCAGCAGTTCCCCACTTTTTCAATGGCCACACACACCGCTTTCAGTGGTCCAACCACTATAACTGAATTTCAGTGTGCCTCACTCTTCAGGTGCCAAGAATCCATTTGGGCTTGTGACCCGTTGTTTGGGAACTGCTACATACTGTTGGATTTCGCTTAGAGGAGAAGCACCCCATATGACTGACTATAAAAGAAAGAGAGGGTTCTCATACCGGTTGTTTTGTTATGGCTGTTGTGTGCTATACAGGGATGGTTGGGAGCTCATCATGGCCAATATTTTCCCAGAAGTATGAATAAAAGTTAATCAATGCTAGCTGAGTTGAACATGAAAAAGAGAAAGAGAATAAAAAAACTGCATGGTTCCAAGATCTCATCCCTATTTGTCAATTTGCAGTCCTTTACTCATACACTAATTCCAGCAGGGGTTCCCTATTATCCAGTTTCATAGATTTGTCTCTGTGCATTTAATAACAGGTAACTTTCTTTTTTCATTTTCTAAAGAAAAATGATTAGAAGGAAATTGGTGTTCTTGAAAGTAAGAGGCTAGCAATCCTTGCTAGGGTCCTGCATGCAGTAAAAATCTTGGAAATTACTGTCAATGCACTTTGCTCTCCATCAGCAGCTCCTGGCTTAATTATGGATTGATATACATGTTCACCTGCCACTGTTATCTATTCTCTGTTCCAGTTGGCTGGTTTTGCCAGCACTTCTCAACCCTACCACCTACCACAGTCCTGAGTGTCTTACAAGGACGGAATGCTAATGATGTTGGGTATTAAAGTCACTAGGGAATTTAGCCAGAATTGGGTCTCATTTACACTAGAGCATATATGGAGTATTTTCATTCACTTCAGCAGAATGTTCTATTTGTGTAGGCTGGGTTAGCAAGTAAAGCCTAGAATCTGAACTCATCTCTCTGGAAGCAGAACTAGTGAATACAGTCTCCCAGTGGACCACATGAGTTCTCTGTTGTGGTTACATCTCTATTCTCTTAAAGTTTTGCACCAAGAGGCATTTTCTACGCCTAGAAAATGTCTGTTTCAGTCATGCAGCTTTATGTGGATGATTTGGGATGAACAAGTGAATCTTGCATGCATTTCACTCCTGAACAGGCAATCAGAATAAGGCATCACTCAAGGCAAAAGTGGTATTTAAGTGGTTAATAGGCTTTCTGCTTGGCTTTTGCATCATGGGATAAATGTGAATGGGTCAAGTTTCAGTCCACTGTGCTGAAACCTACTTGCCCTTGTTCAGCTGGAAGACATTTTGGGACATTTTTCTTTTGTTGTCTAGATTCCTGAATGCTTCTGTACTGAAACACAAACATTGCAGACTCTCTTCCACTCTTGTGAGAGCTCATACAGTGTAGGATTGCTGAGAAAGTGGTTCATAATGATTTTACAATTAATTTCTTGATGTGGTCTCTGGCCTTGGTGTACCTCAAGAGTGACCTTGGATTGTAACATGCTGTCTCAAGTGGTTAGGTTTTGTCCCAGGGAAAGGCTCCAGTACAGGGGTGGGCAAAATATGGCCCACGGGCCAGATCCGGCCTACCAGACCATTCTATCTGGCCTGCAGGGCCCCTAAAAAATGTAGTAGATTAATATTTATTTGCTCCTGGCTTCCTGTCAAAGATGACAGGAGCCAGGGGCAATAGGACCCAGGGGGAGCCAGCAGGACTGAGCAGCCCAGTCCCGCTCCACCCGCAGCCACTTCCCTGCCTTCCTGCTCCTGCACTGCTCCAGCACCACGTGGCCCTGGGCTGCATTGCCAGACTGGGGAGCATGGTATGTGCCAGTACCCTGGGATCAGGAGCTGGAGGGGTGTGTTTGTGGGCAGGAGAAGAGGGTATGTGTGTGTGTAGGCAGAGTGTGTGCATGTGTGTGTAGGCAGGGACAGAGGGTGTGTTCCTAGGGTAAGTCCTACATGCACACCCCTCTATACACATGCACCCACAACCCCCCTTGCATTTCCATATATGCAGACCTCCACACCCACACCCCCTCACACATGCCAGCCACCCTCCCCCCATACAGCACCCCACAAACCCCATACCCACCCACACTCCACATATCCACATGCTCCCTCACCCCCCCACACCTATCCGCCCCCACAGACACACCCATGCCCTGCCCCACATACCCACACATCCACAGCCCCCACAAATCTATACCCACCCCCACAGCATACAAGAATAAGGCTTCATTTAAGCTACTGTGCAATCACCTCTACGAACACTATACAAACACAAAATCAGGATAAAAATTTTTTTGAAATCAAATTAAAGAATGTTGTAGATGTTTTCTTTTAGAATATAACTTGGTGTTTTCTTGATTCTGAGATGACAAAACCCCTTGCTGAAAGAAGTACTTCTGAGGGCAAGGGGAGGGACTTCTGGTCACAAGATGGAGACCAGGGGGTGGGTCACCTGTCAAGGGGGAGGGCTACCCATGTGGCCCTCAACAGCTTGCCTAAACTGGGTAAGTGGTCCTCTGCCCAAAAT